GTAAACTTTGGGATTGTTGTCGGACAGTCCACGGGTGCATGATAAGGAGTCAAATCCTCGACTTTGAAAACTAGCTTGATGGTAAAATCTTGTGGAATGTCCAAATCATATGCATTCGAACCAATCTTACTCAAAAGGACAAATTTTAAAAACACCCCTTTTTCGGAATTAAATAGCAAAATCAATCGTTTGAAAAAAAATAGCAAAATCAACCATTTTCAGATGAAAATGGTTGATTTTGCTGCTGGATTTTTTTTCAGATTGGACATGACTAGTAGTCCCGTCCATTTCGTGTAAATAAAACCCCCACCTCTTCATCCGACTTTTCCTCTATCATTCGTCCACAAATCAAGAAATGGTCGTCGTCGCCGCCCTCTCTCTTCCCTCTTCATCCTCAACTCCACGGTCCAACTCTCTCTTCAGGGCCAAACCCAGGCCCAGGCTCGCTCAAGCCACCATCGTCGAGGCCCAGCCCAGTCCCCCCGCCGGCGACGGTGGCGGAGCTAATGGAGTCCCGCAGGCGGAGCCCCTGGTGGCGATCAAAATCTTTTTGAGAGATCGGGCCGAGGATTTGTAGGCCGAGGCGAGGGCCATGGCGCTCACGGTCAACGCCTTTGCCTACAGGCCTGAGCTCCTCGCTCAGAAATATGGTTTCCGACCAGTAAATGTGCAACTTTTAACCCTAGTTTTTGCTAAATTTGGGGGGTTTTGGTCTGGAGTTTGGCCTACTTATGGTTTGGAGTAGGTGGCGCTGGAGGATGCTGGAGATATTGACGGGCTGGGGACGTTTACACTGAAGTCGTTGCTGGATGATCGGAGAGGGGTGCTTGAAAAGATGAAGAAGGAGAGGGCGAGGCGGGTGACGTCGCGGGCGAGGCGGATGGGGGAGGGGGAGAGAGAAGTCGGGTGAAGAGGTTGGGGTTTTATTTACACGAAATGGACGGGACTACTAGTCCCGTCCAACCTGAAAAAATTCTTACAGCAAAATTGATCCTTTTCATCTGAAAAGGGTCGATTTTGCTATTTTTTTTTGTCAAACGATCGATTTTACTATTTAATTAAAAAAAGTGTTTTTAAAAATTTGACCTACTCAGAACACGGAATGAACCTGTACGTCAGGCATGAAATTTTCGTATAGCTCCCTTAGGGAACCTCTCATGTCGAACCCTAAGCATAACCATACCTTCGATTGAAACTTTCTATAATCGTTTATGAGAAACTGCAACAAACTTATAATTATCATTGTTTATTGCTACCAGCCTATGAATCTCATTATACAAATCATGCAAATGTTGTGCAAAGGACTCAGCTGAGGCACTGGGTCTAGCTCCTGATGGCACTGGTAGTAAGTTTATAGGTTTCTTAGGTCGACAACATGTAACAATCTTAAATGAACTCAACCCTATAGACCTATTGACTAAACTACTATATGCAAACTCTATCGTAGGTAACACCAAATCCCACCTAGACACATGATGACCAACTAGACACCCTTATTAGTCTGGGGATGGTAAACCGTCGAAAACTGTAATAAAGTATTGAGTTTCTTCCAAAGTATCTTCCAAAGGTGGCTCGTGAACCTTACATCTCTATCTGAAATAATAGTCTTAGGAAGACCGTGCAATCAAACTACCTCTTTAAAAAAGAGGTGTGCAATGTGGGAAGCATATGCAGTTTTGTTGTAGTGAATGAAATGTGTCATCTTTGAAAAGCTATCCACTACAACCAATATTGAATCGTGTTTGCTAAACGCGCGAGGGAGACTTATGACAACATCCATGCTAACATCCTGCCATAGAGCAAAAGGTATAGGTAAAGGTGCATAAACCTGTATTTTATTTCCTACAGTTAGCAACCTTACATACTCGACGATGACGCAACTCTCACTACATCTCGCTTGACACTTGGTCAGTAAAATCTATCCTCAACCAATATCCTTGTCTTATCCCGGTCAAAGTGTCCAGCTTCTCACACATGTATTTCCCAAATTAGATGATCATTAAGGGAGGTGTTGGGAATGTACAAGTGGTTACTCCTAAAGAGAAAATCATCGATAATGGTGAAACCTACTACACTAATAGGAGGATCTTATGTCAAAGAGGCATAAAATCTCACCAAAATCCTGACAAGTTGGGTAGTCGTGAATGACTCGATCAAATCCTACCACTTGTGCACTCAAGGACTGTAAAATGACCACCTTCCTACTCAAAGCGTTAGTGAGTTTATTCTCAACACCTGCACAATGTTTGAGAGCAAAATGTGCTCCTGTATAAACTCAACCCAGTTGACATGTTGGTGCCCTAATCTCTTATGAGACTTTTAAAGTACTGTGTGACCTGATGGTCGTAGTATATGATAAACTCTGCAGGTAGTAAATAATTACGCTAATATGGCAGACTCAGCACCATGGCATTAAATTCTCAGTCTTAATTAGAATAACATTATAGAGTTTTATTCAACTTCTCGCTAAAGAAAGCGATAGGATGACCATCTTGACTCAACATGCCTCAAATACCTAATCGAAGCATCACATTATGGCTACCTCAAATGCCTCAAGAAAGCGTTAGTGAGTTTTATTCTATACCATTATGGCACCTTAAATGCCTTCGAGAAGTCAGGAAGGCTAATGACCGGGGTAGTAGTCAGTTTTTCCTTGATCTCCCCAAAAATTCTAACAACAGATTTAGTCAACTCAAACTCCCCTTTCTTAAGACAACTCGTGATGAGAGTCATAATGGTAATGAATCCTTAATAAACCTCCTATAAATAGTGGCCAACCTATGGAAAGTCCTAGCCTCATGAATAGCAATAATAGTAAGCCATTCTCTAGTGGCCTTGACCTTGTCGGGGTATTATGCTGCTACACCATCAACAATGATGAACCCTAATTACACAAATGACATAAAAACACACTCCTTTAAATTAACATAAAATTTCTCCTTTTGAAGTCTCTAAAACCCGTGT